CAAAAACATGCCTTACTATAGCCTTGGTATCAGTAACTGCCATCGGGAATTTAACACCCGATAATTCACTGATGGTGATATATAAACGTATTAGCCGCTAATCAGTCACAAATATTGTTGCGTCCCTCGGTACAAAACGATGATACTTACTAGTGCTTTTACATGAACACGATGTATTTTTATTCCTCACAAAAAAAAAACTTTTTTTTTTTATTATGTAATGTACATATTGAAAAAGTACTAAGGGCTTTCTGCAGACATTAACTGTATTTTAACGGAGCACCAGAGAACTTGATGTCTGATCCTACTTTATCACAACCAACAGTTTTGATCGTAATGGAGGACGGAACACGTACGTAACAGCAGGACGGAACACGTACCTAACAGCAGGACAGAACACATACCTGCGTGACGGCTCTGAACGTGTTGAGTAGAGTCTCATTCTGGTTATGACAGAGGCCTCGTTTTTTCTGCAGTCTTACGCTGACGGCCTACAGAACCAACAGAAAAGGAAAGTGAACTACTTGCAAGCCCGTAGGTCACATGATACCAGGAAACAGTGCGAAAATGTACTTCAGTTTTACTAATTTACTTCATTCAAAAAGAATCTATATCATATACAATGGTTTGTACAGATAAGAAAATACACATTATCAGGTTCTCAAAAGTATTTCAATTCGGGGGGTTAAAACATTCCTGTCCTCTCGGGGGAGCATGACAAAAATAAAATTGAGAACCACCGCTTTAACCACATCACCTTGGTGAGCGGGCGGCAGCACAAGCTGAGCATGCTCAGTGCACCTCAGTGGGACCTGGTGGATTCGAACCTGCAACCCTCTGGACCCAAATCAAACCAAACATTTTCTAACTACTGCCAGTTATTTAGGTTGATGTGAGTGATCATTTGGCTTCTTGCTTAGCCCCCCAAATCCTGGATAAACCCTGGCTGTAGCGATAGAAAACGTTGTTGTTGTTGTTTTTTGTTTGTTTGTTGACGTTAACCTACCATTAGCTGCCAGGTAAGTCTTTCGATTTGTTCTTTTTGACGCTGGACCAGCTGTCCAGACAGAAGAGACAGAGGCACGTTAGCAGCGATATCCTGTTTGTGTGAACGTTTCCATTATTCATATGCAAAAGCGTGAGTGTTCTACCTGGCTGCTGCGTACGTCCTGTTCCACTAGTTGTATATTTTCAACCTCAAGTTGCTTCAGGTCTTGCATGGATAACCTCACGCCGTCGTCCAAACATTCCTGCACCTTCTGCTGCAGGCTGAACTCAGGCAGCGCACATCGAGAAGAACAAGAAAGAAGAAGAAGGTAGATTAGTTTGTTTCTGTGGGCCGTAGATGGTATAATGTAGGTACATTACCGGGAACCTCTGTGAACAAACGGTAAGGGGGGTGTCAAACATACGGCTCGCGGGCCAATAGGTGTCAAACATACGGCTCGCCGGCCAATATTGGCCCACTTAGGGTTTCAATCCGGCCCACTTGATGAATTTTTAAATTTTAAAAAAATACAGTAGTCCCTCGCTATTTCGCGGTTCATCTTTTGCAGATTCATGACTTCGCGAGTTTTTGAAACTGTACATATAAAATATCCTGTATCCCGGATTTGGATCTGCAACAGATGTCACAGGAACGGGACAACGATATGGTTCAATCGGCAACAAAATTGACAACGTCATGAATGCCTACAAGCTACTCTTCGACTGGAAAAAGAAGCAGCGGAAGCAACTGCCGATCACAACGTTTTTGCAGCCTCGCAAAAAAGAGCGGGTTCCTGCTACTACTATGAATACCGTAGGAAACCGGAAACCGTGGAAGAGGCGCCCCAAGAAATAGCACCACCCTCTGAAGAGACGTAGAATCAATCATCGGCTGCACAGTAAAAGTCATCATCATCATTTTACTGCGCATAAATATGGTGTCGCTACTTCGCGGAAATTCAGTTCTCGCAGCAGGCCTTGGAACCTAGCTACCGCGATAAACGAGGGACCACTGTACACCAAAAAAAAAATTTTTGGTATGATTTCAAAGGTTTGTCATTAGGTTGCTCCGTTACTTTTTTACGCTTGTGCGGCTAATTTTCTCTTCCTAGCTTTGTATTTTACACACTTGAGTGATTACTCCTTAAAAAGCATATACATAAGATCGGAGATGTCAAATATACAGCCCGTGGGCTAACGTCAGCCCGGAGTTTCAAAGCGGCCTGCTTGATGAATTTTGCAAAAAAAAAAATACACAAACAAAGTAAAGTACCTGTGAACAGACGAGATCAACTCCTTCTCTCGCTTCGCCTGTAGTTCGATCCTTAGCATCTTGTCTTTAATCAGAGCACATTCTTCCTCCAAACTCTTCTGGATATCAGACACTTTTTGGCCGAGCTCTTTGGTCTTTTGCTGTACCTGCTCCTGCTAACACACACGCACACGCACATCACACAAAACACATGTTCGATTTTGGATAATGGAAGCTCTTTTACAAAAATCAAAGGTTGCTTGTAGCTCAAATTGGGCAGCCAATCAGCCACGGTCTGCCAGCTCCAAAGTGTGCTTGGAACTTAGAACATGACAAAACGAAAAGCAGACTGCTTCTACATTACCAAAGGAGAAGAATACAAAAAAAAAGAAGAAAGAACATACTTCCTGAAGGCCGTTTGTGAACCCAAAAGTTCGAAAACTGAAACAATTTTTCCCATAGTTCGGGTTATGGTACGAGGACCGGGACCATTTTTGGTTAAAAATTTTGTTTCGTTGAACTGATTGTTCGAAAAAGGGAGGCGTTCGACAACCGAGTTTCCACTGTAATTCATGGCTGCTGCCAGGCAGCTGGAATGTTGGGATAAGTTGCCCTGGGAATCTCCACTAGACTGTCCTTCTGTATTTATCTCCATGACATCACACCTGTCAAGCAACTCCCAACCATCACTACGGGTGGTCCTTTAGTCAACACTTGTCAATAAAAGTTTTTTGTGCCCCATTTGGCTAGCGGTAGCCCTGCAGGTTACTATTACAGTGGTATATACAGATAAGAAAATACATGTTATCAGGTTCTCAATAGTATTTCAATTTAGGGGGAGGCATGAAAAAAAAAATTCTGTCCCCTAGAGAGAGCACGACAGAACTAACTGAGTACTAGTATTGAGTACTAGAAGACCATAAACAATGCATGTACGTGTTTACCTGCTGGGCCTGGACATGAACCACCTCAGGTGAAGGCAGGTCACACAGATATTTCTCCAGTGTCTCTATCTGTTGCTGCTTCTCACGACTCTGATCACACTCCCTCTGAAACTTCTTATTCAGACAGCTTATGTATCGATCCCTTGTTTTGATCTGAAATAAAAAAAACACACAGCTCATCAGAATACAATGTTCGATGCTAACTTTTTCATTCTACGCAGCCCAATATAATAGCGGACGTTAGCGGTGAAAGTGATCTTTTTAGTTTTGGAAACACAAAATGTGCATCTTTTTTTTACAAGTATTACATAAGTATACTTCCAAAAGTAGTATTTCAAAACTGAGGTATGGCCACATAGAACACTTTAACGCAGAGTTTGGACATGCCTTTTAATAACCGTGCTATCCAAGTACTGTATTTTCCGGACTTTAAGTCCCTCTAGAGTATAAGTCGCACCAGCCAGCTAGAGTGCCCTCTGGTGGCTGTCAGTGTGAAAATAACAAATACGTGAAATTATATATATTTATGTACATTAGCCGCGCCAGAGTATAAGTCGCAACCCAGCCAAAGGATGAAAAAAGGCGTGACTCGTGGTCCGAAAAATACATCAAAAAGCCTTTGAAATATTATTTTAAAGGCAGACCACATTCATTTAAGTCATGCATTCTACTACCATACCTTTTTCTGCAGCTTTCTCATGTCTTCTGCGTACTTTTCAATCACTTGCTGATAGACATTCTTCAAATGGAGCACCTTTATTTCAGCAACCGCGAGCTTCTGATTGAGGTCTTCATCACCACACGGCATCTCAGGGGCTATTCTCACGTCTGATTCCTGTTGGACAAACAGGCGTTACTGTTTCGTTCGGCGCGAGACAATATTTCATGCGCGGGACTCAAAGTGTGGGACAGATCACCTCTTTGTTTCGGTCGTTGGCATCGTGTAACCAGCCTCTCTGGCTCTGCAGGAGCTGCTGTGCTCTGTGCACGTTCTCAGAGATCTGAGCCTGGAGCAGTAATATCTCCTGCCTCTGCCTGAAATACAACACTACCTTTAATTTACTAAAAGACTAACCTGTGTCCAGCTGGTAGCAATATAATTAGGAGATAAAACATTTGGTGAATTTCGACAATAATACGGTTGTGAATATGGGTCTGTACAACTTTACCAATTTATCTCCAGTTCTCGGTCTCTCAGGAGCCCCTCCTTAACCTTCAAAGGGTTTTCCACGTGGCCGCTTACTTTAAATAACTGGGGGGGAAAAAAACAAACATAGCATTATTTACCAATACTTTAATGATATATTTATAATATTTTTTTACATTGCATTATTGACTAGTGGAGTGACTAGATGTTTTTTTCCGTTACTTTGAACCCTGTTAATGGTGTTAATGGTAGATTGTGGATTTTTCTGGTCTCTCTATCAGTTCTATGTTAGCTAGTTTAAAGTAGGGATGTATAATATTATCTTTTTGCTAATATCTGATGTGCCGATCCCGTCCAAACGCTTAATGTCCGATTCCGACATTAACCGATACCAATATACGCAACTGTTTCCCCCCAAAATTGCGGCAAACGTCTCAGGACCCTACAAGTGTTTGCAGCATATTTGGCAAAGCGCAGACATTGCATTACCAGGTTTTCATTATCGGAAGTAAAACCGATAACGAATCTTACAGATATTACATAATTATGCTAATATCCAATATTATCGGCCGTCCCTCGCTTAAAGCTAAAACTGAGGCTATCTAGTTGCTATTTCTTTTTCTATCCAATGTGGAAATTGTCAATTATATTTGTCTAAATTTTCTAACTCTACTTTTATATTGTTTTGCCCGTTTAGAGCACTGACGCTCCACTTGTCCATCTAAGAAGTGGAACACGGACCACGGAGATGTCAGCGTAACTAGAGTCTTGTTCGTTTTCGGAATTAACCAGACAAACCGCCATGCACCACCACCCACAGAATCGAGAAAGAGCTATCAATCTGTCAATCCTTCCCGTGTCCGGGCCGCAGACTCCACTCCTGGTGGTGCCCTTCCGTCAAAAGTTTCAGCTTTGCAACCATACTCCCCCCGGAATCCAAATACGTATTTTAGGTCATATCTATGTAATTTAGAATTAAAAAAAAAAAATTCTCACCTGGTGAAGTCCTGGTTCCTGCTGGTGCCTTTGTTTTCCAGGCGAGGTCTTTCGGGCACCTGCACTCTTCTGACACTCTGCCGTAGGCTTATACTGGTCAGTGAGGAACATTGTTTTGCTGAGGGAGGGTGAGGTGAGGGAGCTTTCCCCAACGTAAGGACCAACACATGAGCTGAGGCCATACAGCTGTCGCCCACTGTAACCCACTTCAGCTGCTGTTAAAGCACTCAAGCTATTGTCCAGACTGGGGTGTTTAACTGGTGAAGTCAGAGATGACGGAGACAGGGACAGAGCTCTGGATCCGGGGCTGCGTGTGTAGTGGTTGCAGGGCAAAGAGCCGACTGAATACTGCAGCAAGTTGTGGGAGCTGGATGAGGAGGTCAGAGGTAGATGAAGGTCCACTTTTGAACCACAAACCTTTTTGTGATGATTAAACAGACCTCGGTCCAACGAGCCTTGGAAACCTGGGTTGTACAGATGGCCGAGCGTCTTAGCTGTGCTTTTATCAGCTACAGAGGACAACTTGGTCAGAGAGGAACACCGCCGCATGGGAGGATATTTCTTCATATTCAAAGGACTCGGTGGATTCTTTTGAGTTGAATCTAGGAAAAAAGGGAAGACCCAGTGTACTCAGAAGTGTTGACAGTTACTTCATAGTTGTTGCCAAAGTGATGGTGGACGAGTGGTTTTTGCTAGCCTTTCAGGTGTGGCGGATAAATATAACTAAGCCGCTCGCCGGGTTTAATGCAGCGTGGGCTCGGTGTGGTATTTTCTAAATATAATAATAAACATCAAGCCGCTCGCCGCGTATAATGCAGCGTGGGCTCGGTGCGTGTGAACTACCTGTCATAATAAATCCATATTTCGAAGTAGGACTCCTGGAATTGTCTGTTAAATGTAGCTTTCTTTTTCTTTGAAGACGTAGGTTGTTCTTCTGGCTCCTCTTACGTAAATGTAGCTTTTTTTTTCTTTGAAGACGTAGGCTGTTCTTCTGTCTCCTCTTACCCTGCGCTAAGAAACTTTCCAAAGATGTTTGTTTTTCGTTCGTTTTGCTAGCTTGAGGGTTTCACCATAGCGGTAATGTGTTATGTATCAAAACAAAACATCGTTCCGAATCAGATAATAAATAAAATGGAAATAATATAAGTTATAGATAGAATGATCTGTGCGGCCCGGTACCACCTGACCCACGGACTGGTGCCATTCCACGGCCCAAGGTTTGGGACCACTGGTGTAAATGACAAAGGTGTGCTACTGCACAATGAGTCATCAGCAAGAACACGTGCAGACATTGTTTGGGACCACTGGTGTAAATGACAAAAGTGTGCTACTGCACAATGTGTCATCAGCAAGAACACGTGCAGACAACTCAAGATTAGGGATGTCGGATGGTCCAAACACTTCACGTTATAGGTTTTGTAGTGTACTTGCACAAATTTGAGGATCAATTCGGCCAACCGATATTAGCATAATTTTGTAAAAACAGTTTGTCATTGTGACATAGCACACCACTGCACACAATGAAATGTGAACTTTGCCTTTAACCCAAATTACTGCATGTGCCAGTATCGGTTGATATCGGAATCGGAAATTAAGTGTTTGGACAATATTGGCATATCTGATTTCCGCAAAAAGTTAATATCAGATTTCTAGTATTTACTAAGGAAGGCTTGATCTGATTCCCGGAATCTGTATGTTTGTCCAACACATCCACCATTTTCTTCAGCATATCTTAACCTTGATATGTACGGTGATTTTATGGTATAAACCTGGGGTGTCAAACATACGGCAATGATATGTGTCCTTTTGTTGATATTTTGGACTGAAATGAAGTGTTTGGACAATATCGGCATATCGGATATTGGCAAATAGCTAATATCGGACATCCCCTAGGCAGGATGCATTTTCGCCACATAAAAAAATGCATCTTACAGATACTTCTTTGAGATTAAATGTTGATTCCGAAGAACCCAGTTAAGTTAACAAATTAATTACCTTCCAAACTGTCCGAATAGTAGGTGCCGATGCCGCTGTCACCACTGCCGGACACTGTGCGGTGTCTGAGTCCCATATAGAGACTGCTTCCAGAACTTAGAGGGTTGGTGGACCACAATAAGTCTTGGCCAGGGAGCCATTCTGCAGAGCCAGAGCTTCCAGAGCCTAAACAACCGTAAGTACCACAACAGACTGTTACAGCTCCTAAAAATGCAATTTAAATGTATCCTTTCTCTGACAAGAAGCAAAGAGAATTCTAGAATAACAGATGGTTAGTGGCAATTCATGGCTTACAAGCCTGCCCGCTAGGTGCTAACGTAAGTTATGTCCCACCCAAAACCCCCGACCTCCGCTCACTCACAGGGGTCCGCCACCCCACTTTTGGAACCACTGGTATAGAGGCTGACTGCACTGTGAGAGACGGTTATGCTGCGGTATCATGCCGGTATCACGCCGCTACTGGCAGCACTGGTGTACAACATCTTCCTCATCATTGACTCACCTAACCCTAACATTAGCTATTAAGCATAACTTACGATACATATACGATACATTGATTAATCGAAAAATGACAGTCTTGTCGTTATGAATCGAATAAGAACCGAGATAGTTTAGCAAACCGAAACCTTACCACTTCTTATTTCGCCAATTTTCGACCGAGAGATCATTATGTCAGCTATAAAGATTATTCCAAAAAACCACACCAAATATAAAAAGAGGGTAAATCGTGTCACACGCAGGGGGCGGAGTCGGCTGTCCGACCTCAGATTATGGCCAACTCCGCCCCGTTAAGTGAATGTGAATATGCTGAAGGATGCGTTTAACGTCTAACCAATCAGGCTGGGGGCACGAATGCGGTTATTTTCCTTACTTGTTTTATGGTCGGAATCATGTCCATCGTCATAGTTTCCTCTGGGCCACATCTTGAATGAGGACAAGGCAGGTGGTCTCGGTAGGACAAAGGCCAGTACGAAAATAAAAGCAACAATGTGTGAGTCAGGACATTATATCACGTAAGCGTTGGTCAACGTATACGTGTGTAACGATAATGTCGGGTTTAGGGTAGCTGTTGTTTAGGTTTGGCATGTCCTGAACCTGACGTCGTCAAAGTTAGAGTGGATGTGGCTCCTGTAAACTTGTTCTTTCCCACTAAAACCCCTTGACGTCTACGTGGACTCCTGCTTGAAAATACGTCTACGGCGTCGCCATTTTGGGGGAGTCATTGTGAGGCCGTCGTGAGGACATTTTTATTGCAAATAAATAAATAAATAAAACGGAAGCAGCCCGTATCAAGATTAGTAATGCTAAAAAGAAAATTTAAATAAGTCATTACCATAATATATACAGGTTTTTTAGTGCATTGTCCAAATAGACTGAATATTTTACTGGTGTTCAACATTGAACACATGAAGAACATATTTAATACATTCCAGTCAGTGTTTTAATGTAAGTAGAAATGAAACACACATGTGAAATTCGTCTCCTTGTACTTCATGTGGTGGTATTTAAATACATAGTGTATTCAAACCTAAAGTTGAAGCCTTAGCATATACAGTATATGCAAGGCACTGAGATGATTTTTGACCATAATGTGCTTTGTAAAATGAAATCCCATACAGACTGTCTTCTTTAATCCTGAAAAACTTTCTTTAATTCTGAAATGATGTTACAAATTGAATTTTTGAATGCTAGGAATGTGTTCAGATAAATATAGTTTTTAAATAATTATTACACTAATTAATAAATAAAAAGACAAAAAAATTATATTTTAAGGTTTTCTAACTACTGTACTACTTTACTGTAATTATATTGTGCAAGCAAGCACCTCACAAAGGAAGTTTTAGCCGCGTTACGTTTATACGATGTGTGCAACTGCTGGTTCTTGCATATGAATGGTGACGGTAAATTAAAGGAGTGGTGGTGAAGCAAGTGTCAGTGTCTTCTTGACAAGTTTTGAAAACAGGTGACTCCAAGAACATGATTGAACCGTGTTCTTTTAGATTTTGGTGGTTATTCATATTTCATGACTACTAAAACTTACTACTTTTACTCCTGTTATTCTAGTTTTACTTTAAAATATCCTTTACTAATAGGCGATTACGAGCAACCACAGAATCGACGACTATGGCGGGATGTTTTCCAGCTGGAAAAGTGATCAGAATCAGGGAAAAGGAGGAAAGTCCTTAAACAAATGTTGAGCAAAAAATCTCTTTAAAGACCAGCGGACTCCATCCAACTTAAAGAAGCATTGGTGCTAATAAATATAAAGTTATGCTGATTTGTAGGAAAGACGTTAAATTTATGAAATTTAACGTAAACAAAAAGTCGAGGTGGAATTCTTAGCTGTGGAATAGTTTTCGATCTTATGGTGTCAGGTTTTAGTACAGTACCTTTATGTAAAAATTAATTCATATTTGATGATAAATAATCACAAGTCACTATATACAAATCTGGAAATTTATTTATTTTTGGTTATAAGAGAAATGCAGGTCATAATCAGCTGGTCTAATCACCTGCAAAACAAAAATCACAATCAGCTGATTGAGTAAATAACTAGCTACCAGATTATCTATTGTCAGCAGATATATTAGCAGCAAAGCTAACATCCCAAATTGCATTTTTATTGACACAGTCATTACCTTCATGTTAAGATGTGTGGACAGGAAACATTAAACTTAGCAAACCTCTGCTACTGATAAAGTCCTTGACTGATAAAGTCAAGGACTTTATCAGTCATTGATAAAGTCCTTGATAAAGACTTTATCAATGACTGAATTTGTGAGTTTCCTTTTCCTATATATATACATACATATATATATATATATATGTATATATATATATGTATATATATATATATATATATATGTATATATATACACATATATATATACATATATACATATACATATACATATATATATATGTTACCTCTGTCGATGCCCTGGTGGTCACTGAATCCATATGAACTCAGACCGTCAGACTTGCTGTGGGTTTCCTTGTCCGGAACTGGACCAGCTGGTTCCACACTGGGACTGTACCTCCTATTTGGACCACGCCCTCTGATAAACAGCGCAGATGTGAACCTTTTGTGTGGTGAGAGGTCGAGGTCCAAATTCCTTCCAAAGTATGGGTTTCCGTAGTGATGGGGTCTGGTCCAAATTTGCATTCGTGCAGCGATAGCAGGACCAGATCTAGCTGTACTGTGAGACACACCTGAGTCGAAAAAACAGTGAGACTGAGCTGAAATACTTGTTTTTGTTTGATACCAATCTTAAGGATTTGCAGGTAAAGATAAAATAGTACTAGAAGGTGTCCGATTGCACATCTGAACAAACACTGCCACAAATATTCTGCCCTCCGAATAAAGAAATACAGTACTATGTAACAATGCTAATTGCTATCAATCTAATGTGATCAAAATTGAAGCTTCACGGAAAACCTTAAATCTGAGTATTATAATAAAGGAAAAATACCTTATAATTCCAGAGTGAATAATAGAAATAGAAATAATAGAGTGATAAAAATAGAAATAATAGAATAAAAATAGGGATGTCCGATATGAACTTTTTGCCGATATCCGATATTGTCCAAACACTTAATTTGCGATTCCGATGTCAACTGATATACCAATATTGTGCACAATACAACTAATAGTTTCACTTTTTCCAAAACTATTTTAGGTCACATCATCTGAGCGAACCCAAGCATTGCAATATCGGGTTTTCAGTATCATAGGAAAAAACGATAACGCTTCTTACCGATAATACATAATTAGGCTAATATCAGCCGACAATATTGGCCGGTTGGTCGGTGACGACCCACACTAGTGAAATTGACCGTCACTCGTTGCGATTCCTTAAATGCATGTTGCACAAATAAGGTTGGGTTCATTTGTAAAAGAAGGGGAATAGATCCTCAAATTTGTGCAAATACAGTACAAAACCTATACATTGGATTGGACCATACCTAGTAATTTTTTTTTTTTTTTAAAAAAGCAATAAGTGGGCTGTTCTTGCGCCTACCTGCAGGGAAGGCCATTTTCTTGTTTTTGTTCTCCGACACTGTCGGCAGTTTTTCCTGGTCCTGTTGGAGTTCTTGCTGTACGACTGCCAACTTCGGCACTTTCGGTTGTGTATTTACATTTTGGGGATCTTGATGCGGTTTACGGTTCCAGTTTCTCTGGATTTCTGTTAGGACTTTACCAGACCCTGGGATATGAGAGGCCTGAATGTTTTGTTGATCAGGAACAGGTCTATCTTGTTTACTTTTAGGTATAGATTTAACCGTGATGTCCTGTACTCTAAAACCTGCCACCTTAGCATTCCTTTTGTCCATAGACCTGGTCTGTGCTGTGTTTGGGTCGAGCCACTGGGCTGCAGTAGATGTTGGCTGGTTGTTAAAGTCCGGTGAGACATGTTGGTGGGGACTGAGAGAGTGGTTCTCCCAAAGACCACGCAGGTCTTGAGAAGACTCAAATCCATTGGGCGGATCCCAAGTGAAGACACTGGGACCTAGATGTTCTCCGGTTTGTTTTGCATGGCCTGGTTGGGGTTGTTCAATATTGTGTTGCTCGACAATACCCAACACCTTAGAAAATTGGTCCACAATATTTTGGGTTTCGGTTGGGGATGGGATTTGATCAGAAAAAGAAGATACTTTCTCAAAGACAGGACCTGTATTCCTGGTTAGAAACATCTGAAGGTTTTTGAAAGGGTCAAGTTGAGTTTCTCCTGGAACTGTAGAAAAATAGCTGGTTTCAGAGACTTTTTCTTCTGTATCAGGCATCTGTCTTATTTTGGCTCTGGTGAGACTTCCAAATGTTGAAGGCAAACAGTTTTGCTCCACAGTTTTGTTTGCATGATCTGTTGGCAAAATTGAAAAAGAACAATGTTTCTCTTCTAATTTTAAGATATAATATATCTAAATCCAAACCGACCAAAAACCTGGATTGAATCGAACCCTGGAGCACCTGTTGTGAAGATCCTGTCCATAGATAGTCTGTTGATGGTGTTTAATGGGTAGAAGCACCTGATGCTCAACCTGATAGAAAGCAGTCAGAAAATGTTTGTAAGTTAATGCTCAGTCAGGGTACAGCAAGACATTTTTTTCCTTACTTGAATTGAGAATCTCTTGAAATCAAGTTTGGCCCATCTGTAATCAACTGTCTGTCATGGATAACTTCGTTCTCATAAACCACATACGACTCTCCAACCTGAAAAAAGCAGTTGGGTTATTAACTGTGTAAGACATTGGTGAAGTGTTTGGACACAGCTGTAGAACACATTTGTGCTGTTGAAACTCTGTATGTTTAAATATGATTGGTGAAGTGTTTGGACACAGCTGTAAAACACATTTGTGCTGCTGAAACTCTGTATGTCTATGTTTCTATTGAGCGCACCTGAAAATAAGCCAAACCCACTAAATTTAATAATAAAAAAAAAGTACATATATAAGCTGCACCTCTCCACGTTAGATTTTTTAAATTAAATTAAATGTTTTTTTCCCGAACAGTGCCTGTAACACAACTAGTTACATGTTAGCTTTTTCCTGCTTTGGCGCCCCGACCGTCGTTGGAATGCACAGGGGAGACTTAGTGATCTGCTCTAGGGCCGAAGCTAGCTTTAGCTCTGTGGCTAACTCCCTTCACTTTGTACTTGTCCGCAGCAGAGGTAAACAGAAACAGGGAAGTTGGGGTCTTTATTATCAGCCACCGTTCTCTCTCTTGTGCCCCACGCACATACTGTATACGCACACAGCCATTCACAGACAGACATACGCTACTAGCATAACACACAGTAGCCTACCAGAAAAGTCATTGATCGTTAGCGGTATAAACTTAATTTCTAAATTAAGTTTTTCTTAATTTCTTAATTAACTAATGGGTTCAAAGCGTGTGAAAAAAGTAGTTGCTTATAATTCAGAAATTACAGTATTTCTAAATAACCAGTAGAGAAAACAGAACCAGAATATGATAAACAGTTCACGCATTAAGATTGACTTTTACCATGGGTCTGGTCCCACAGGTGTTAACTCTGAATTCAAACAGAGCTCTGGATTCATCAAGCTGTTTAGGTCTACAATCAGGGTCCAGCAAATGGAGTTTTTTCAGTTGCACCGTAGGCCTGGTGGATTTGGTCCCAGTTATCACGGTTATGGTTCCATCTGAAGAACAGACTTAAACCACAAAGGAACCAGTTTCAGGACTAGTGATGTTTTGATCACAACCAAATATATATATATATAAAATGGGATAACATTAAATTAATATATATACTGGGATTAATATATTTAATAAAATCGAATTTTACCAAACGTTATGATCATAAAATGTGCAATTTTTAACTTTTAAAATTCATCAAGTGGGCTGGATTGAACGCCCTAGCCTTTTAAAATTCATCAAGTGGGCCGGATTGAACGCCCTAGTGGGTCGGTTTTGGCCCGCAGGCCTTATATTTGACACCCCTGCTCTGGAATATGTCAATGGAGATTTGCATCAAAGCAAAGTGGTTTAGAGTCGTTACCTGTCATGTCCTCAGTTTTGAAGAGGCAGCGTTTAGAGGTAGATGCTTGGACCTGTAATGTTCTAGAATCTCTAAGAAGAAGCTCAAAAGTTCCGTAGAAGTTAAATAGATTTATGTCCTGAAAAATTGTAAGGAGTGTTGATAATTAAAACTTAACCTTTCACATTTTGTTGAAAATTGTAAAACTCTAATACTCTTTTGGCATCTTCAAATAAATTACCACAACTGGATGCTGCATTAAAACCGATGTGATTGTAGTGTACGTACGTCATATCTGTATCCAATTGAGTATATCGGAACTTCCAGCGTCATCCGGTGGCTGTCGTTGTGAAGCTTGTACCCTCTCTGGGCCACGAGCTCAAAGGTAAGAGGTTCATGGTCAACGCCAACCTCCCACAGACTAAGACTTGGTGAAGCTTGAACGATGGTAAAACAGATCCCTTGATGCAAACACTGTGCCATGATCTGTGGAGGAACTTCAAAGCAAGAAGTATGATCTTAATACTGATACTGACCTAGGCTTAATCCAGACCCTTATAAAGAAAATGGCCACACTTTGAGCTCAAACAAGAATCATCACAAGAAGTGTAACTCTCACAGGTGTTGGTGACTCGGCTGCTGACAAAGGTGTGGTGGTAGTACGATTCTCTTTGCGGTATAATAGTCAGGGTGAATTTCAGATGTGCGGAATACTGGACGACACCCCCGCCAAGGTACTGAAAGACGAGCACAATTGTATTACTATTGTGCTAATTATATGTAAATATTATTATATTATATATATTATATAATAACTTTGTGCATTGCTAATAGCTTAGCATTAGCAATGGTCACCATTATTTATTTTTCCTAAATTTTTTTTGTCTTACTGTTGTGCGGATGGAAGCATCCTGAAAGGGCAGTCGGAGATCGAATGCGCGGCTGCCGTTAGCGTAAAGCATAGGTGTGATGAAAATGGCAGGATTGCTGGCTCCTGACATCACTTGCTTCTTGTTGATCCACACTTCCTCTAAGACGACATCAGAGGGAATATTTCCCAGCAAGATGTGGAAAGCCACATCATTGTCAAGTGTCTCTGCGGGAAGAAGACAGAATCTATTTGGTTCACTTAGAAGAAGGCACTTCGAGAATGCATTTGGTTAGCATTAGCATAGGAACAGCTGAAAGACCTTCGTCTGCCTTTTTTACCTAGCAATATTTTGTTTGTGGTTCCTCCTACTTACGATCCAGACTGAAGGGTGGATGGCAGAGCGGGGGTGTGGCCAACACTCGCAGCAGCCGATGTTTGATGTTAATTCTTCTGCTGCCGTCGTACGTCAGAGAAAAGTCATGCTCGTACAGAAGCGAGATTCCAAACTCTTCTTTGTAGGTGTTATTCACCACCCAACTCTGCGAAAGAATACAAAACTAGATTAGCCGAAGGTTTGCAAAGTAATTGTTTTTAAATTAGTGTTTTCATTGAGTCTAGTAAGAGAAAAGTACTTTTCTGTAGCCGCCCTCGGCTCTGAAAGGAACTGCAATCAGGACCAGGTCTCCACTGTGGACCAGTCTTAATCCTTTGCTTGTGGCATTGTTTTGGTCCAGAAACTCACCGTCCACTCTAATGCCTACGTACTGACTTTCAAACACTGCAGATTCATCCACAAGAGGCAGCATGACCCAAGGAACGTCCCAGAGCAGCCAGGCGCCATTAAATTCTCCTGAATCTGAGAACCAACAGACACGCTCAAAACAAATGTGCACAACAGTATGTGAGGGTGTGTGTATATGTATGTGTAACGAATACTTTTGGTCATATAGTGTATGTGTAACCTACTAAGTGTACAAGCCATGGTCAAGTCCAGCAGCACCACCATCTGCAGTCTCCTGAAGACCACCGAGACCTGAATCACTTCCACCGGGACACCATGCACCTGGACCGCAATGTTAGAATCCCAGTTCATAACAAGTCGAAATGACCGACCGAGGATGTGTGGAGCCATCAGGACACCATCCCTTGGGTCCAGGTTCACTTACCATCATGACCTTGGCATGTGGCGATCTTTGGTCGGTTCGAAGCACTACCCTGTGGGCGGAGCTTGTCACGATGTAGCCTAGGGATTCGGCCTCCTGAATGGACATGAAGGTCTTGTGACCGTCTCCCTGCAGGAACATAAGCTGCCAAGTCGCTTTGGTCGAACTCTGAACCTGAATCAGGAACAACACATATAACATCAGACCAGTCGAGTCCAGGTCAGCTGGGAACTGGTGCTTTTTGAGACTGTACCTGAGAGTTGGCCACACCCCAGAACTGATCTCCAACCTCCTGAGTAGCTTCACATGAGTCCTGGTTTACATTGACCTGAGTAAAACATGAATTACACTAAACCTTCAAAAACCAGCATTTAAAAGTAACGTAATTTCCGGACTATTGAGAGCACCTAAATATAAGCCGCACCCACTAAATTTAAAAAGAGAGAAAACATGGGATATTTAAAAAGAAAGATTTTTTTTTCTCACGGCTGGTTACACGTTAGCTCTTTCCTGCTTCGTTGCCCCAACCGTAATCGGAATGCACAGGGTAGACTTAGTGATCTATTCCAGGCTTAAGCTAACATTAGCTCCAGGGCTAACTCCCTTCACTTTGTGCTTGTCTGCAGAAGAGGTGAATCAGAAACAAGGAATTTGGGGTCTTTATTATCAGCCACCCCGACCACAACAGAACATAAACAGTGTTTTAACAGCTCCTGTATAACCAACTCACGCTTCAACATGACAGGGCTCAAACTGCTCTCAACTTTCGCTAACGTTCTCTCTTTCTCGCACAAATCCGCACACACCCATCCACAGACAGACATCACGCTACTGGTATAACACACAGTAGCCTTCCAGAAAAGTCACTGATTGCTAGCGGTATGAACTTCATTAGCCTGTAAAAATTCATAAATTAGCCGCATCATTTTTTTAAGCCGCAGGGTTAAAAGTTTGTGAAAAAAGTAGTGGCTCATAGTCCGGAAATTACGGTACTTTTTTTTCCTGTTGAAAAAAAAATCCCAAATGTTTTTGTTTTGTTCCAGACCTCCATGTAGTCCTCCTCACAGACGACTTCTCTGTGAGCCCATTTTGGACCAAAACACAAAGTCGAAATGGACTGTGTCTCCCAAATGCCTTTGCTGGTCCTCAGCCTCACATTAAATCTGAATGTGAACTTGACGTCATTCTGCAGTGAGAAAATATGTTACAAGAACACCGAAGAAACTGCCTACGATCTCAAGTGGTGTGGTACCGGCCCTCACCTGGTTGTGGGTGTAGCAGGAGAAGAAAGAGGCCCTGAGAGTGGTGGAGGTGGCCATCTTGTTGGAGATGATGGTGTAGCCACAACGGGCAGCGAGTGGCTCTTTTAGGATCTGGCTGCCATTTTCATCTATGTAATGACTTCATCAGTCTTAGTTGATATCACCTGTAACCCTTAGAGAACATTAGAAATTCACCTATGGCCTCGAATTGCGGCACCTCCATTGATTCCACCTGGATCACCAAGGACCGGTCTTCACACTTAGACTGGACTTGGGAATTCTGCTGTTCTGAGAGACCAGAAGGTGAAGGGTCAAATGGAACGTGATGTTAGCAGAAAATTCAAAAAAAAAGCCGTTCTACCTTGAGATGGTGTCTGTGTCACCATGGCGACTAACATGACAAACCTGTAAACAAAAGACAGGGGAATTGAGAGTATATGAAAGATAGAGTTAGGAGATTGTGCTGAGAAGACGGAAAGAATTTTTGAGAACCTTTTGAATGAGGGAAATGAGAGAGAGTTACAGAGAGAACAGTTAGATACTGTGGAAAATTTTTTTTTTTTCTTAAAAAAAAAAAAACCAAACCCTTGAGGAAGAAGTTTGCTTGAGAGTGAAAAGGAATGATGCAGGAAAACACATTTGGAAATGAGAGTGAGGCTAGCAAAGATTTTCGAAGAGTTTAAGTACCTCCAGTCAACCATACAAAAACTGGACAGTATCAAGATTATTTAAGATAAACAATAAAGATTTAAAGGAAGACAAAAACACTCAGTATCTAAAGTTCAGAAGCAGCCAGGTGCACTTGCTGAGGTTTCTTCAAGTCCTAATTAAGAAGCTAAGAGGCTTCTTAGTCTTTCACAGGACGTCGACTTCGCTTGACTAGCGATAAAATTCGATGACGACCCAGTGTAGTCTTTTGTCCACCTTACATTTTACAGCACAATTTTCAAACAATACACAAACGCAAATGAATGGAATTCACCTGAAGACCAAAGCAGCCATGTTTGATAAGGGGTGGAGTTTTAGTGCTGCAGTAATCACATATCAATAGGAGGCGGGGCTTAATCGAAAGTGTCAGAGGGCGGAACTTTTGAACTTAGCAAATCATGATTCTCCAATTCTCCAGTTCTCCAAACAGAACAGGAGGCTGCC